CAACAGCATCATCTCAGGATAGTGGAGAGCAACAATTTTCCAGGACGCATAATATTGAGCTATTCAACAAGGGCATAGCTGGTATCAACGTATCGCCAATATCGACAAAAAAATTCCAGAATGTTAACTATCCCCGGAGAAAGTATATGGACATGACCAATGGCATTAAGAAACGCATCTTCGGTTTTCAAGCGGAAGAAGATGACCTGGAGCAACTAAAATTGAAAGCTGCGGAACACAATGAGATGATCGGACAACTGAAGGAGAGATTTGCTGATCCAGGTTCATCGAGAGACGATCAAATAAGGATTTTGACGATTTTGCCGAAATCTTGGTCAACGCAAACGGTAATGGACGAGTTTGAAACAAATAAATACATTGTATTGCAAGCTCGATGCTTGGCAAACGGGAAAGGAGTATTGGCCACCCCCAACAAAAGGTTAGGACACGGATTCCGAAATTAAAAACGAGGTATTGCAGTTCTTCGAAAGCGACCAGATAAGCAGAGCCACGCCAGGACTAAACGATTACGTTTCAGTGAAGAAGGAAGGTAAGAAGATTCATATTCAAAAGCGACTTTTAGTTTGTACATTGCGAGAAGCTTTTATTACATTTCAAGAAGTTAGTAAAAATAGCATTGGATTTAGTTCATTTGCAGCACTACAACCAAAGCATTGCAAATTACTTGGTAGTTCAGGTTCTCACAATATTTGTGTTTGTACCATCCATGAAAATATTAATTTAATGCTTCATTGTCTTAGAAAATATTCATTCGAAAAAGATTTCAACTATTATTTTGAAGAAATATTATGCAGCTCATCATCCAGAACTAAACATTGTTATCTCCGCGAATGCGAACGTTGTCCAGGTCTCTCAGATTTTGAAAGAAGTTTTTCAGAAAAATTCGAGGAACAGGGTATGTCTGAAATATGTTTTGAACAATGGGTTTCAACTGATCGATGTAGTTTAGAGAAACTTGCAAAACCAGTAGATGGATTTGTTCCTTATTTTTGCGAAAAGTTGGATAAACTGGTATCCAATGATTATATTAAAACTCAGCAGTCTAGTTTCTTGAGAAATACAAAAAATACTCTTAAAAATGGAGAAGTTGTCATAATATGTGATTTTTCCGAAAATTATTCATTTGTTCTTCAAGATGCTGCCCAAAGTAGTTACTGGAATAATCAACAAGCTACTATTCATCCTTTTTGCATTTATTATTCAGAATCAGGTATAATTAAAAATTTAAGTATGATCGTAATCTCTGAAGTTTTAAAACACGATACAATTGCGGTGCAAGTATTTATTTCAAAATTACTGACCTTTTTGCATACAAAAATACAAGTAAAAAAAGCGATGTTTATGTCTGATAGAGCTGCATCCCGATATAAAAATTGCAAAAATTTTGCAAGTCTTTGTAAATTTAAAACGAAGTACAATATTGATGTTGAATGGCACTTTTTTGCAACTTCGCATGGCAAGGGACCATGTGACGCGATTGGTGGCACATTAAAACGAATGGCAAGGAACGCAAGTGTGGCTGTAGAACACGAACATCCAATCACAAGTGCAGCAGAGTTATATGCATGGGCTAACCAGAAGAGTAATGATTATTTAACAAAAATGTCATTTTGTTTTGTGTCACAAAAGGAATACGAACTGGGGGCTGCAGAATGGAAAAGCATTTTTGAAAAGGCCAAAACGATCCCAGGTACAAGAAAATATCACTGTATTGTTCCGATTTCCGAAAATAAAATATCAGCGAAACTATTTTCGAATGACGAAGAACGCACCATTCATAACATATAAAAACATGCCAATCAAAAGTTCATCAAATAAAAATATATCCAACGAAAAGGTTTATGTACAAATTATTATTATTAAAGACGATCGAAAGTAATAAATGTAAGATGCAAATAGAAACGCATGGGTATTTCATTTATTTATCTTATTTATCTTATAAGTTTAAAACCAATTTTCCAATAGTCTATTGGTGCAAGGGTAAGTTGACGGTAAGTACATGCATATTTTGCAAAACTTATCATATTTGATGGACAATCACGTATAACTTATGAAAAGGGCATATTTTCTACAAAAAAATAATTATGATGAAAGTAAATTTGAAATATCTCGAAAACGGTTACATATAGGAAGTTTATCGATAAGAGCATTACCGTTTGAAATGATTTTTAAATTATATACTGACATCAAACTGAGCATTTTTCCGTAAATAATGAAAGTTTCAAAAATGCCTTAAAAGTTGCTCTTAGAAAAACTTTTTTTTTAAAAGTTTGTCCATCCTGGAGTTGTTTTCAAAACTTCTGCTTTCTATTCAAGTTTTTATTAAAAAATATAAAAAAAAAATCAAAAATATTTTTTTTTTGTTATTTGAATTTTGAGGTTTATTTAAAAAAAAATTTTGTAAAAAAACGAAAAAAAAATTGCGTGTAAATTTTTTTTATAAAGCCTTATTAGTTTCCTACAGCTCCTTCTTAGTAAATTTTTTTCTACAACCAACTGTTTTCGAACTACATTTTTTTTAAAGTATGTGTGCAAAAACACATAGGCCCTTTTCAAAAATTACCCTTGAGTCAAAAGGGTTTCCTCTCCTGCGGAAAATACTTGGTCTATCATACTGAAAATATGTGCCATGTATCATCCAGATCGAAGATAGTCAAGTTTGGTGACTGACCGATTTAGCGTGGAATTGGTCATCAGGCAAACGAAACACATAGTACGGGACTAAACGTAAGTTTATGCATGAAAATATGTTTTAAAAAAAACAGCATAACACACAGAAGCAAATGATTTAGTTCTTGGTTTAACTGCTAGATAACTGTTAAAATGAAGCATATTCTTTTTAGGATAATAATAATCTTCCGGACAGTAAATCAACCCCAGTACCGGTCGTTTTATTCCCGGGATTATTATTGCGGAATTTCCCGAAAAGTTGGCAAATTTCCAACATCCCCCTTTGAATAAATGAAAAAAACTCGAAAACGAAACTTTTGAGAATTTTTTTTAATTTTGACATTGCTCAATTGCACCACATTATCACGCATACGGTAAATATGTGTGAGCCATTTTTATCGAATACACCATTTATACTCATTCGCTCACATTTATACTAAAACCTTCTTCGCTTTGTAGCAGATTGTGTGTCCAATGAAACCGGAACCGGTTTCTTCACTCAGTAATGAATTTTTAATTGTCGTACCTTTCAAATGAGGTATACACTTTGCGTGTCGGTTGAAGTTTCGCAATTCTACAAGAAGGTGAAATCTGGGTCAATAAGTATCACTACCTGTCTTAAGTATCACTACCTTGAACATAACATAAAAATAATATGAAGATTTCCATAAAATATCAAGTTTCAGAAAATTTCAGCGTGATCCGTTTAAAAATGACAAAGATATTACACTTTGAAGTAGCGCTTCGGGTCATATTTACCCCAATGCCTTACGATGGTTAATTTCAACATGTTTTCAAAAATCTTCTCAAAACATGGCATAAATGTGAAAAATGTCTTAACAGAATTTCAAATGGCCTCAAAATTAAAACATTCCTATACCTTTTACGTTGTTTGTTCCTTTTAATTCTACTACTATTGTATCACATTCACGTTCGTTAATTCACTTTCGCTATCACTTTAAACTTTAACAGAAACGTAATTCGTTTACTACTTGCAAACTTCTTCAGTGTCTAAAAGACTTCCATTCCTTATGAACGTGTATAGGTAGTGTGTGTTGTGTTTTCATGTATGGTGTTTGCCATTAGGGAAGTTTGTTATGCAGGTAGTCAGTAGTACCTAGTGCAGGTACGCGTGCTATGTTAGATAATAAAACATTCCTTCAAATCTGGTATTCTACAAGTAACATGTGGTTAGCCCATGATTTTGACATTCAATAATAATATTCTAGAGCTCATGTCATATGATCTACTAGATAAACCAGGACTTGCACGATGTCCTTAATTTCAGGAGACGAACCAGTCCAGAGCTGAAAGTCTCCTTAATAAAGATAGAAAAAGATGTCCTTAATCCTGGATTAATATGTATTAGGCTCTGCAAATTGTCTTATAGCTCCGATCAAATAATCTACTTCAACCACGACTACTTAAGACAACAACTAACAACTGAACATGTAGCCGATCAGCTACGCTCCGCTTCATCAGCGCATTAGCTACGATCCATTTCATTTATATATAATATATTATCAGTTCTGCAATTCGTCCTGAAGTTCAGAAGCTGGGTGACGAACGGACTCTAAAATTGAACCAATTTTGAGCTATCAAATCTAACAAATATTTTTTTCTCCCGGTTACGAAAACAAATAGTACATAAATATGAAAAATATTCAAGGTGGATTCGAGGTTATCATTCTATTTTAACGAAGCGGTAGTTGCAGCAATCCAACTTGTCGCCCGTTTTGTAGATTGTAGATACCTTCCATGTACTCCTATTCCAAAATCCGACTTTTTCTTATTTTAATAACTCGGTTGATAGTTGGTCAACGACAGCGACTTTATTGTTTTTCAACCGCCAAATCTCCTCTTTGAATTCCTGGAGTCTGAGGACTACCGAGCCACCATCGTTCTCAGCGGTATCACTGGTAAAGTTATGACTGCCTCCTTCCACCTCTCAATTACCTCACACTCGTTTTTAAGAAGATTTCTGTCCAGATCTTTGCCTTTGTCCTCCGAAGGACTGCGTTTTGCCTGTCTGTAGCGCTCTCGTGCGGTGTTGCAGCATTCTTGCCGGTGCTGCATTCTTATCCTTCCTTCTATTCGCGGTAGTGTTTAACGTATTTTAAGTGTAGCCTCTAGGGCATGCATTTGAATGTATCTTCTATGAGCTGTCACGTCGGTTGGTCTGTGTATATAATCCACCCAAAAAAATCAGGCATCTTGGAGTTTCTATACTATAGATAAACAAAATAACATCGTGCTTAGGATCATGTTTATAAATATATTTTATTTGCATGATAGTTCATCAAGTTTACACAATGGTTTCAACTTAAATTCATTTTCATATTTTAGCAGGTGTCTAACACTGATAAAATGACGTTGTTCCAGTTCGATATTCTTCACATCACATTCCAACAGTTCAACAGCAATATCGTGATAGGGGAAATGAAAGAGCTTGACCTAAGGTAACAATTTTTACATCTAATATAGTTGGTCCATTTAGCGTTTGCTACATATTGCCTGGCCTGGTTCATTTGGATGGGAAAACTTATTCTCACCTAATTATGAGGGGGTAAGTTTATACAAATAACGGTGATAGCCATCTCGCTGTTCCGCTTAATGATTAAGTACAGCATTAGCCAAAACATTCGCATCTCCAGCAGCCTGTTGAGAAGAATGACAAAAGAGGCCTACGAACGCATAATTTGTGTTCCAGTAGAATTATATCTATCATAGTGTATTTTGCATCACAGTTCTCAATGAAGAATGCCTTTCATATACTTTGTAAAACATATCCATAACATATCACGCTTTTATTAGCTTAACCTTCACTTCCCATTTTGTGACTGGAGAATTGCGAATGATTTGTCCGATACTGTAGCATGCAGAATGTGCCTATAATCTTGTTTGTTTTCCTTCACGAAGACGTGTCAAGTCAGGACAGCAATTGGTTATCAGCGTTGTTGGAAATGTCATCGTTATTGAATGGGCCGAGGGCACTATTGTTTTTAAAGCTATTGAGATTGCTTGATAGAAGAGCGGGTCTATTGTTGATGTTGTTACTGATGCTCTTACTATTCCACCGTGGCTGCTGCTGATCTTGTTGATGATGTTGGTTGTGATAGCGGTGTTGAATATGATGTCCATTGCTTGATGTCATCGTGTTTGATCTGGTCGGGAAGCTTTCATTCCTTGACGGAAGTTTTTGCGAAAAGGAAGTTGAACTAGTTGCTGGGTGATGTTGACACGTAGACAAGTGCATTGGAATGTGAACGGATCCTGCAGCACCAGAAAAAATGAAAAGAAGAAGAAAAGGAAGAGCGGAAATCATAAGCATTAGAATGGCCTTTATGGTAGAGAAGAGCTGGTGCAGGTGTCATTCACGGATGGTATGCACGTGTCGTCATGACAATGGTTTATGTCCATGACAGGAATTTCCATCCCTTTGAATTAGTTTTCGTTTTTGAATGCTTTTACGACAGACTCTCCGGGGCGAATTTTTTTTTCCTGGAAAAATGATCGACCGCTTGCCAGGTAGTGATGAAGCATAAATTTAATGGAATTAAAAAATCCTGTTGGATTGCATAAACTTTGCAGTGAAATTCACAGGAGAGAAATAGAGCAATTTTCATTGATGTTGAAATTGTCTGTGAGAACTATCACTGCAATATGGAACTGTAAAAACAGGTTATATTTTTAAAGTTTGGGATGGAAGTTAGATTTTGCGTCTGTCTTATAGTTTTACAATTACACCCAACGTTCGGTAAGGGTAGTGCACAGACCAGTACCCTAAGCAAAATCAATTAAAAATGCAATGGTTTCCACTGTTACTGTAACTATGATATTGGAAATGTGTGTCTATTAGAACAAAATTACAACGAAGTTCATAGTTAACAATAATAAAATTCATGGTATTTGAGAAGTTTACATGGGGTTGTTAAGTATCTTAACAGTACATAAAATCATTTTTCCCAAACATAGTTTTCTTGAAAAACTAAAATCGTGTTTTCATGTCTCACTCCAGATATACCGGTTTTTAAAATGTATTATGCCATAGCACTCTGGGCGGGTAAAAAGGGAATTCTGAAGAGAATTTAAACGGACTTCTGAGGATAGCATCAAAAGAATGCTGAAGAGTATACCAAGGCTATTTAGAAAAGAGTTTCATGGGAATTTCTAGAAGAATTCCAAGTGAAACTAATTCTGCGATCGAAGTTTCAAGGGCAATTACAAGGGAATTTAAGAAGAATTCTGAATAGATTTCCATACGAATTGAATCTATGATTTCAAGATAATTCTTAGAAATATTTTCAAGACAGTTCCAAAAAGAAATTCAAGGGGAATAAAATTGAAATCCATGGTCATTTCATGAGAATTGTACAATTTCTCTGATCAACATAGGTACAACAGTAGAAGAAAAGGCAATATTCTACTGGTTACGATCGCGGCACTTACAACTCACGTTGAGATGGAACAATATTTGATTCTTACTTATCTCTAAGTACACACACTTAGAAATATCTACTTTTACACGAGACGTAATCCATATTGGACGTAAATCATGGAAAGTAAACAAACATTTCAAGTAAAATTAAGTGTTCTCAAACCGAAACATAAGCAACTCGATGAAGGGAATGTTTTATTGGATTGATTTTCTCTTTTCTTTCAACTGATTCTTATATCAAAAGGGCCGCTTACATATGTCCGTCTCAGGGAACCAAAATTTATATTATTTTTTTGTAGTGTGCAGAGCACATAACATTGTAAACATGAATGATACAAAAACAAATAAAACACGTTCGACATACCCATCAATTGACAAGTTCATTACGTACATATACCTCACAGCATATAATGTCAGCATCACCACGTTGTAGCTACTTACCTTGAGATCTTCGTTGTGTCTTGGGCGAACCCGGGCAGGTGTACAGGAACGACCTTTCCGTATCTGCAACATCAATCAAGAGCAAAAGAGATTTCAATCTTTTCCAATTTGTTTAGCGTTGGGTAGGAGCAATACCATTTCGCACGATACGATGATGATCCGGAGAGCCCGAGCAGGAGTAACGCGAGTTGACGGCGCCTCGTCGTGTTAGCACATCTGGACTTATTCTAATGAAAGGACACCATCTAAAAAACTGCTGGAATCCTCGCCGAAACCTTGAAAAGAATAGAAAGATCTTGATTGCAATCAGAGGTATTTATCATAAAGTAGACCGCAACCATAATGCATGAGGAATCCCATTCGCGTAGTGCAGTAACGCAATTAAAATATTTTATAGGCAGTAAACCATCCCCAAGTAATATTGCCATAAACTGAAACTGGAACAGTTGGAGCAAAGAGCTTCAAAAATGAACGTTAAAGATACTGCCTCGTGGCTGATATGTGACCAGTAGAGCATTTTATGCGACGTGTCTGATCAGCTGATTTTTCACTTCATGTATGAACTTTGACAGGATGCAGTTACCAAACGACAGTGAGAAGCAACATCAATATCAGAGGCAGAGCTTTGCCGACTGGACCCTGTCATTTCGTAAAATGGGCAATGTCTTCTTCTTCTTCTTCTTCTTCTTCTTCTTCTTCTTCTTCTTCTTCTTCTTCTTCTTCTTCTTCTTCTTCTTCTTCTTCTTCTTCTTCTTCTTCTTCTTCTTCTTCTTCTTCTTCTTCTTCTTCTTCTTCTGCTTCTTCATCATCATCATCATCTTCTTCTTCTTCTTCTAATTCTTCTTCTTCTTCGTCATCATCTTCTTATTCTAATTAGTCTTCTTCTTCTTATTCTTCTTCTTCTAGGCTGTTAACGTTTCTATAGAACGAGCGTTTTGCCAGCTCTTAACTTAGTGTTCTAGATGCACTTCCTCAGTTATAAAACGAGAGCGTTCTATACCAACCAATTGTATATATTGTATGTCAAGCACAATTATTTTTGAAGAGCAAAAATGTACAGCCAAATGAAAACAAAATTTGGCATCAAATTTGTCAATTGCGTAAACTGAAATCAAATTATGATTTCAGTTTGATGTTGATATCAAAACTTGATTTCAATTTGCTGTCATTTTGATGCTGGACTTTGCTCGGGTTATTATCCACGCGATGTAAAACTTATCGAAAAACATCGCATTTTCAACGATAAAACCTATAACTTTACATGATCGTGTAAATTTAAACCAACAAACATTGAGAAAGCTGATATGGCGGACGGACTGATTATTCAATCAGTTTTTTCTCCGCCGCGTATAGCTCAAGTCAGTTAGTAGAAAATGTCGGGAAAAGTGTATTGTTAGTTTTGTAAGCTTAGTTTTGGTGATGTGGAACGATTTATCGTGCATTTGCGCGTCCACAAATATAAAAGTTCCATGGAATGTGTTGCTGATGCAACTAAGGTTAGAATAAAAAACACTCCTTTTTAGCGTAGATTTCATTCGCTTTAAGCTGCAAATATTTATTATTTTAAGTAGATTTTAAGTAGGAATATCTATATTTAACTTACGTTTAGTGTTTAAGCAAATTTTAATAGTTTTAAGCAAGAAAATATAATAGTTTTATCGAATACAATGCAATTGAGATCCACGTTTCACAAAATATCGTCACCTTTTGATTTCATGTAATCTTCGACGAATGACAGTTGCGCTGACGGCTGTAGCGATGACAAGCAGCGGTAGGGCTACCAGATTCTTCGCTCGTCCGTCCGTTACGAGTTCAAGGGGACTGCGGATGGCTCGTAGCAGTACCAACATTCCCCGGCCCGTAAGGTTGAGTTTGGTCCTGTCCACTAGACTCGACTTTACCATCTTCAGCTACCTCGATGACGGCGAGCTTCACTGCCGGACGTCGGATGACTCCCGCTTCCGTACGAACCAGGGCCTGTCTGGTAACACCATCTTTTCCACGAATAACCTCGACGATCTGACCTCGAATCCAGGTATTTCTCTTGTTCTCGTTGGCAACGAAAACCAAGTCCACTTCAATTGGTTTAGTGTCTCGGAACCATTTGGTTCTCCTGGCAATCGTTGGAAGGTATTCGCGCAACCATCTTTTCCAAAATCTATCCAGAATGTGTTGTGCCAGGTTCCAGCTGCTGCGTAGACAATCGGTGGCCTTCGTAGGTTCCTTAGGCAGTTGCTTAACTCCATTTGAGCTACCCAAAAGAAAATGATTGGGTGTCAGCGCTTCTTGGCCGGCGTTGTCCAGCGAGATGTATGTCAAATTCTTGAGTTGATCATACTCTCGGCCTCTAGGATGATTGTCTCGAAGGTTTCATCGTCGGGTACTCTTGGTGCGGAGGCCATTGTTTCTATAGCGACCTTGACCGATCGCACAAGTCGTTCCCACACCCCACCCATGTGGGGTGCGGCTGGAGGATTAAAATACCATTTGGTCGTGGTATTGGTGAAGGTTTCGGCGCACTGCTGGATTTGGTCTTGTAGCTCATTCGCGGCACCGCGGAAGTTGGTGCCGTTATCAGAGTATATCTCGGATGGGGCACCTCTTCTAGCAATGAATCTACGGATGCAAATCTTGCAGGACATCGAAGACAAGCTATGTGCCACCTCTAAATGTATCGCTCGAGTTGTCAGGCACGTGAACAAGGCAACCCATCTCTTAGCGTGTTTGCGACCAACTTTGACTGTCACTGGCCCGAAGTAGTCCAGCCCGGTGTAGGTGAACGGACGAAGAAATGCTTCCAACCATCTTCGGCGAACCCAGCGATGCGTTGTAAACCTTGCACATCTGACATCTAGCGGTGACTTTGTGGACCAGGTTTCGTAGACCTGGAATGTAGACCAGTTGACGAAGCTCATTGACTACCGTCTCCTGGTTACGGTGGTGACATCGACGGTGGTAGAAATCTACGAAGAGAAAGATTACTGGATGGTTCGGAGCTAGTATAACGGGATACTTAGCTTCGATCGGCAGGTTGGGGGCGGCACCGATACGACCATCCATTCGCACCAATCCCTCTTCATCGATGAAAGCTGACAATTTATACAACGGGCTCGATACCGGCACCGCCCCCGAAGGCTTTGTAGAATGTCGACTCTGCAACACAGCTAACTCCTCAGGAAACGTCTCCAGCTGAACCATCTTCCACAGCTTCACTTCCGCTTTGCACAGAAGTTCTGAATTTATCGGTGTTTCCAACGACGTATCTTCGCTCATCACTCCTCCGAATTTGAGAACGTACGCTACCGTTCGCTTCAGCTTTTCCCATCTCGAAAAACGTTTCACATCGATCACAGGCTCTATTTTCACCCATCGGTTAACGATTACCGGGCGAAGTTCTTCTGCTGCATCTGTTCCTTACCAATTTTGTTCTGGCCAAAACTCCTCTGGACCCCATAGGAACTGTGGTCCTCGATACCATGGATCTTCAGGATCAAAGCACGGCCCGTTGCCCCACTTCGTTGCCTTATCCGCTACATTCTGCATCGTTGGTACTTTCTTCCATTCGCTTGGGTTGGTCGATGTCAAAATCTCTCCAATTCTGCAAGCAACGTACGGTCGATACCTGCGGGAATCGGAGTTGATCCAATGAAGGACCGTCGATGAATCGGTCCAGTAGAACCGTTGATGAATAGGAAGATGATGATTCTCCAAAATCGACTGTGCTAGCCGGGTTCCCAGGATGGCAGCTTGCAATTCGAGCCTTGGGATTGATAGTGTTTTGATTGGAGCGACCTTGGCTTTCGCTCCTATCAGCGCACAATGCGGCTGACCAGCATAGATAAAGAAAATATACACTACGCAGGCGTATGCAGTGCTGCTTCCGTCGACGAACGTGTGAAGTTGCAGTGGCTGGCAGTCTTCTGGAACAGCGTCTCCAAAATACGACCTTGGAATACGGACATCGTTCAGCTTTGGCAACAAGTTTATCCAACGCTTCCAATCTCCGAAAATCCCGTCATCTATCAAGTCATCCCAGTCACAGTTGGTTCGCCACAAGTCTTGAATGATGATTTTCCCTTGAATCACGTACGTGGCGAGAAATCCAAGTGGGTCGTACAGACTCATAACCGTCTTCAAGATCTGGCGCTTCGTAGGACGAACTGAACCGTCTAACAAACCCTCCTCTGTACCAGGCATGTAAGCGGAGAAGGTCAGTTCATCTGATTGTGGTAACCAGCGGATACCCAGGACAGATTCTGCAACGTTAGACTCCTCTGAATTCCACATCTTCTCCTTCGCAGCATTTCTTTCTCCAAGTCCTTCCAGTACTTCTCGGCAATTTGACATGAAGTTTCGAATTTCAAATCCCCCTTGGCTATGGACGTATCTGACTTCCTCGGCCAAACGAATGACCTCCTCCACGGTATCTCCGCTGTCCAGAAAATCGTCCACATAGTGGCTATTGATGATAGCGTCAGCAGCGTTCGGGAACTCTAGTGCATGCTCTTTCGCATTTAAAATCGCTCCAAAAATCCCCACATTCATCACGTAAATGACGGGCTCTTCGGATGAGTCTTTTCTATGCAGGAACATCTGCGACTTCTGGTCTCTCAACCAGGCTTCCGGAAATCTCACGCGTGCACAAATGCGACAGCAAGCTGTGAGACGGAGCGTCGCATGACTCTCAAATCCATGGTGTGCTACATTATTGTACAAAAGAGAGACCAGAACGATGCGCGCGACAAGCTACACGCTCTCAACAAATTCGAGCGTTTCAATTTTTGTTTGTCTCATCGCATTGCTCTCTCAATGCGACGCATGTATTCAATCACATGCGACTGTTTCATTGAAACATCTCAATGCGCTCTATCAGGGCTCCATCGCCGTGCGCTGTTTCGCATGCTTTGACTCTCGCGGTCCCATCATAAGTGATGTTGTCGGGTGACGAGATAAGGGACTGCAAGGGTTTGTTCACAGAAGACTTGTGTGCCCTTTTCGTATGTGTCTTTTGAAATGGGGTGAAGTTTTTAGATGGTTCCAGAAATATCTTCTAGTATAGATTCAAGCAGACTCAACACATGGTTCCAGAGATATACTGGAATCACCGTAAGATCACCACTCATGATCCTAGGAAGACGCAATGGCTTGTCGAAAGGATGCTAAAGGAAGGTAAAGGAAGGCTACGTGAGCGGTGGATGGCAACCTTACGGTAGTTGGGATACCGTTAGCATGTTAGCACCCAAATAATACCGGAATATCTGTGGAACTATGTGTCCTTCAACAAGTCCTTATGCGGAAATCTTCTAAAATACATTTTTTGGAAGCCTCTGAAGCTTTCAGGCCATTTGGTGGAAAAATAAACAAGTTATTGCGCATTTGCACCAAATTAAACTCAGAATCCCTCAGACCAGAAAAATTTAAATGGACGATTTTGAATGTAAAACAGCACTATACTATACAAGATCATATGGTCGGCCTTAAGTCAGAAGGGACTAAGTAGCAAAATAAAAACAAATAATGAGTTAATGATATCATAAGATCAAGAATTCCCTCAGCTACATTTCAATTTTTCAGCCAGATTTGAAAAATTAGAGTAGCACGAGAAAACGGTCATATGATTTTTCCCATTACATAAGACACAATATTGAACAGCCAACTTTAAATTCGTTTTTCTCAAAATCATATAAAAAATTCACATTTCGGTCTGACTTGACCGATCATATCAACACGCTAGTAATGATAGAACTCTGAAGATTAATATTTTTATTTGTCTGGCTTGAGTGAACACTATTTTAAGGGATTATTTTCAACGCAGAAGTGTACTTTGCTGCAAAAACGTTGGTGGTGACTTCTCATTGCATACACACAAGTCTGCACTTAAAAATTAACCAAGTTTAACATGTTGTAAATGTGTTCTGTCAGATCAATTGAGTTGAAATTATTGACACAAAACTTGCTTTTCCATTGACCTTTGTCCGATCAGCTATGCACAAATTTTATTTTTATTGTCACCTTCCAGCAGGTGCTTCAAAAAATTTGGTATTTCTTACACGTGAAATTCAACATGTTTGTAGTTTTGCGTCAAAATTTCAGCCCAATTGATCATAACAGAACACATTTATAACATGTTAAACTTGGCTAGTTTGTATGAAAACAACCTTTGTCCGATCAACTTTGCACCACAGTGTACGTAGGTTAATGTAATAAATTTAGGAACAATTTGTATCATATCTGTATTACGGATTGTTGCTAAGCTTCTTGCTCTCGGAGACGAGCCAGCCAACGGCTGAAAGTCTCCTTAATAAAGATATAAAAAAAAAAAGCTTCTTGCTTCAGGAATTGTATTGAATACCTGTCAATCAAAAAAACTTATTACGGCAGCAACTGAATTCTTCAGATGTGTTAGCGCTCACAGGATAGTTCATATCAGCCACCATGATGCTGAATTGAAATAATCAATTTGCGACGACAGATTTCTAAATAGTCCTAGTGTTAGTACCGTGGACCCTCGGTGAAATTAAAAAAAGCATATTAACGAGCAAATAAACCACAACTTGATTGTACATTTCGCTTACCAAAGCCACATCTCTTCCTTCGTTCGTTATGAATGGGCTATTTTTCAAGTTAATCCTTTAGTCAACGAAAATTCCCGCTAGAAAAACTTTGTTGGTCATAGCTATCCGACACCTCTTCTCCATGTTCGATAAGAGTGTAGTAGCTAGGTCGCTTTCGATCGTTTCCAAAACAAAACAACACTTTCCCCACATCAAGAACACGAGTTGGTCTTCCAGTTGAGTTTGTTATTTCGATGTCGCATTGAAACGTCGCTTAGCGACGTCTCATTGCGAAAAGCGCATGAGCTTCGGCTCACGCGACGTCGCATGATACTCGTTCTCATGAAACGCATACATCCGGAAATGTGCTGTGCTTACAAAACAGTGCGACACACAGACATTATGAGAATGTGAGATGCGACAAAACTGAAGAGAGAGAAACAGAGTGCTACAAATCTCTTGCGCATGAGACTGCTATGATTATGAGACTATTCGTATTGCGTCTCGCATACGGTAGCGCGCGCACTGGAAGCCTGCTCTCAACGCGATCTTGAACTGGTGATACATTTCTCGTATATCCCCCGTGACCGCGACGCGTCTCTGCCGGAATCGATACTGCACACTCGTTAGTGGCGTCAGCAAATCGGGACCCTTCAGCATCATTGAGTTAAACGACTTGAGCGGCAGCATCCCATATCAACCGCAGCTTCTGTGGTTTCTTAGGATTAATTATCACTCCCAGCGGCAAGAACCATATTGGATCTTGATCATCGGAACACAGATCATCCTCCGTTGCAATACGCGCGTAGCCCTTTTCCAAATAGGCGTCCACCTGATCGTGGACTCGCTTAGCCAGTTCTGGAACCTTTTGAGTCTTCCGCTCCAAACTCTTCAGTCTGCTTACAGCCATAGGATAGCTGTTGGGGAAGTGGACCTCATCACATCTCCAAAGCAGGCCAGTTTCGAATCCACCTGGTACACGTCGAGTTGTTGATTCGAGAATTTGTCTGGCCCTTTTGTCTTCTGCCGATTCAAGCTCAGTAGTCAATGGAGTGACACCGAGACTGTCCGTCAGGAAGTACTGCTTTACCAAGTCATGCAACTGACGATCTTCAGTCATACGGCTGACGTGGAAAACTCCTCGGAAATCGTCTGGTATGGTAGATGCTCCTCCGTAGACGCACCACCCTAATCTTGTCTTAGTGGCGATTGGTTGACCCCGTGCTCCTTCACGAATCTTCAGCGGAGTGGACAAGTAGAGGTTTTCCAGGCCGCTCAGTGGCTGCGGACGAGCTTCATCGTATCCATCAATATTCAAACCTTTGAGGTACGGAAAGTTATTGATTAGTTCATCCGGGTTGATCGACTGAACAGGAAGTTCTAACTCTTCTACAGTACGTGCGTTGACCACGTTGAAACGTCGTTTCTTTTGCTTTCCGGAAATCTCCAGCTTCACCACGCAATACTGTTCCTCTACTCGGAACACATTTCCGGTCCAGCGAAGGTGCAATGGATCTGGTGAACCCTTGAGACCCAGTTCGTCAGCCAAACTCTTCTCGATCATCGTTACCTCGGAAGCCTCGTCGAGTAACGCAAATGTGTTAATGAAACCAGAAGCACCATGCACCGTAACAGGGAGAATGCGATATATTACGGTCTGACTGACGGAGTGGAAATTCTGTGAGCTAGCTGCTAATTTCGACTGTGTAGGGAAAGAGTGGAGCAAGGGATGGTGACGTTGTCGACACCCGTCGATCGTACAATCCTTGGGTCGCCGATAGGGATAAGGAAGGTGATTCCTCATACAGGATCTGCACAAATTGTGCTGCCGCACCATCTTCCAACGTTCATCAGAATTCAATGCTTTGAACTTACCGCAACTATCCACTCCATGGCCTACTTTGCTGCAGATCGGACATACCTTTTCCGATGGTGTTTGCTTCAACTGGTCATCACCTGACGCCCGAGTATCGCTGTGGTGATTGACGAATCCTCGAGCCTGTGCAATCCCGCTTTTCTTCGTTTCATCTTTCGGTGCCTTTGCCAAAGTCGCTGGTCGATACGTTGTTACCTCGCTTGCTTTCCGTACTATATCCGCCATAAACTGCCCGAAGGTGTCCAGACTAACTACCGGTACAGGATCCTTGAAGTCCACCCACTTGAGCTTGATCTCCGACGGAAGCTTCTCGACAAGCTCATGCAGCAACGATGGATTGCCCAAATGTGCTTCAAGATTCGCTGCAACTAGGTGATCGCAATAGTTCTGCACCGCCATCCCATAAGCGATAAGTGTGTCGAACCTTCCTTCCTTCGGGGATTGCGTATTTCGGATCTTGGCCAATAGCGAGTTGATCAGCACCTCTGGCCTGCCAAAGAGCATTCGCAGGGTGTCAATTACACGCGGGACCGCAGCAGGAAGTAGAAGCCGACTCCGTACTGCTTCTAGTGCATCGCCTTTCAAGCAGCGCTGTAGGCGGATAAGATTTTCTGCGTTGGAATACCCGCATTCTGCAGTAGAGTTTTCATAGTTGCTAATGAAAACTGGCCAGTCCTCCGCGAGCTGCCAGTTGTGAGTTCGTCAGGCCGAATGCTCCGCGATTGGGTTGCGTAGGTGCCCGTAATTGGTCTGGGCGTGTTCCTTCCCTAGGGGCATTGGAACCTGGATTTGGATGATTTTCTTCGGGAATCCTGCGTAGACCCGGTGGCCTGTTGCGTGGAATATCAGGCTGTCTCTGGTCACGATGGTCAGAGGGCCCTGGCCCGTCATCCCGGATATGCGGACGCTGTCCTCGGTCCTTGGAGGTTCTGTCAGGAACAGGATCTTCATTCACTTTGTTGCTCGCTTTTGGTTTCGTCCCGGTGTACCGTTCCTTACCGGATTTTTCCATCGGTAGGGGAACTGGAAGTACCTCCAGTGGGTTGGAGTTTTCCTTTTCGAGGTTGTCCACCCAGTCTTTTACCCTTTGCGCGCGAGGTGCGTACAATGTTTTGTGTTTTTCAGCAAAACCCATCTGCTCCAACTTCTCCCGGAACTCTTCACGGCGTTTCTCCTCTTCAATCCACATCCTATACAGGCATTCCCGTTCTGCGTTTTTGGCATTCTGCGCACGATCGATTTTTCGACGATCTTCTTGGTTCCTCTGCTGGTGATCTGGAAGGGCTTTTGCTCCATCAGACGATTGATCGAAACTAATGCTGCTCATTGAGCTACATCTACGGACTGATCCTTCCAGTTGGGCGTTCAAAATCCGATACTTTTCGGCGAGATACTTCTCCTCCAGCTTCCGGAGCAATTCAGAACGGGATTTCTCATCGTCCAGTTTCTTCTTCGCTAGTGCTTGCTCCTGCTCCTGCTGCCGACGTTCGTTTTCCAGCCGCTTTCGCTCCAGTTCTGCCTCCCTTTTGCGCTGCAGCCTTTCTTGTTCTTGCTGATGACGTTCTTCGTCCAAACGACGGCGTTCGAGTTGCGCCTCCATCTCACGTTGCAGCTTCTCCTGCTCGATGCGGGCTTTCTCCAATTCCGCCTCTTGCATTCGACGCTCTTCCTCCTCGAGAACCCGCTGCAACTCCAATCGCTTCCGATCCTCCAACTGCTGCAATTCCAAAGCGGCTCTTGCTGCACGGGCTGATGCACTGGTGCTTACCGTGATCGACGAACGACGTGAGGAAACGGAATTCTTTTGTCGACCAACCGGTGTACTGGCCGCAAGCAGTTCTTTACTGCAACCTGGACAGGTCCAAGAACGATCCGCTACTGAATCTCCTACATGCACACACTTGTAGTGATACCACATATCGCATAAATCGCATGCGACCATACTTTCGTCCTCCGGATCTTCACACAGGCCACATCGCACTGCTGGAGCGGAAGCCTTCGTCTTCGGCATCTTGGCCGGATCGTTTGAAAACCACCGAAATTCACTATATTCCGTAAACCTTAAAGAATGTTGCCGATGCAACTAAGGTTAGAATAAAAAACACTCCTTTTTAGCGTAGATTTCACTCGCTTTAAGCTGCAAATATTTATTATTTTAAGTAGATTTTAAGTAGCAATATCTATATTAAACTTACGTTTAGTGTTTAAGCAAATTTTAATAGTTTTAGGCAAGAAAATATAATAGTTTTATCGAATACAATGCAATTGAGATCCACGTTTCACAAAATATCGTCACCTTTTGATTTCATGTAATCTTCGACGAATGACAGTTGCGCTGACGGCTGTAGCGATGACAAGCAGCGGTAGGGCTACCAGATTCCTCGCTCGTCCGTCCGTTACGAGTTCAAGGGGACTGCGGATGGCTCGTAGCAGTACCAACAGAATGTGTTTTTACGGAGTGAGGAATGCGGTACAAACACACTTAGAAATAACTAATTTTACACGTTACGGAATCCATCTTTGACACAAAATATTGAATGTAAGCAAACATGTCATGTAATATTAAGTGCTCCGAGACTGAAAAGTTCGTTGCTCGATGTAAAGTAGTTGATTGAGCTATATTTCGCGTCAGTTATGACTCAAATTTATGTCAAAATTGACGCTCGTATATGTCACTCTCAGAGCACCTAAATTTACATGATTTTTTCTAAGTGTAATTTTTACAGCAATGAATGTTTTCCAAATTTTATATTTTTAAAACAAGTACCCAACAAACAATTCAAAGTCACAAATAAGCATACACAATGAATAAATGCTGTATAACAGTGTACAATGCTGAATAAAACAGGATGTCGAATTATGTGCTGAAAAAAGCTCATTGAGATCGATAGAGGCGCCTTTATTCTGCCGTTTGCTCTGATATGATTAATTTACGTATTAAAAGCTTTCTAAGCGTTGACTGTCTTCCTGATTCAGAACCAGAAGTTTGATCTTATAACAAACTTAATAAGTGTAATTTGCACACACATTGTCGCTTTAATTCCACTGTTTTCAATTGATTTAATAAAATGCTTTATTAAACGTCTTATAAATGTTTTCTAGCTCCATTATTAGATTTCATTGCATTGCTTTACAATATTGCTGTATAAAGGTGAATACAGTCAGCAAAATAGCTCTTATACCACCCAACAAACAATTCAGAGTCACAAATAAGCATATATATTGAATAAATGCTGTCTAACAGTGTACAATGCTGAATAAAACGAGTTGTTGAATTATGTGCTGAAAAAACTCATTGAGATCGATAGATGCACATTTATTCCACTGTTTCCTCTAATCTGATTAATTTACTTATTAAAAGCTGTAAAAGTGTTAATTGTCTTTCCAATTCAACGCCAGAAGTTTGATCTAATAACAAACTGAATAAGTGTAATTTGTACATACATTGACACTTTAATTCGACTGTTTTCAATTGATTTAATAACATGCTTTATTTGACGTCTAACAAATGTTCTCCAGCTTCATTATTAGATTTCATTGCATTGCTTTACAATATTGCTGAATAAAGGTGAATACAGTCAGCATAATAGCTCTTATACCACTATGCGTCCATGTTGTTATCGCATGATTTGTAAATGCTTTATAAACGACGTATTAGATTCATTATTCGACAACACTTGTTGGGTGGTAGTTGAGCAAATTTGTAAAGATTCCGTTCCGAGTTCCTGTTTATTGGTAAATTACAAAATTCCTATCGAAATTTCAGCATATTAGTTTTAAGACTATGTTTATGATAGATTTTAATTTCTTACTTTAGTGTTCACTACCACTCAAACTTGATAACCTGTTCGTTGGTACAGTGCCGTACATCTAATCTTTGTAGTAGATAATTTGGCTAGATGTAAGAATGATCGATTAGGTTTATGAGGTGCACATAGTTCAGTTCTTCTCACCTTTTTAGGTCACTAAGTTTAAAATAGTTCACCAAATTTATCTAGCAAAACCGTTTAGCTGTAATAATAGTTTTTAGGTTAGAATCCATGATTTACTTTTATCGTTAAGAATTCACTTTTACAACTAGTACCTAATGAATTTCTATATAAGCCGATCGCTCGTAAGTAGATAAGTTCAACTATAAGAAGGTTTAATATTAAGATAGTTTAATAATGTGTAAATAGCAGGATAAATTTTAGCACGCCGTTCTTCACGTCTAGTAATTTTTCACTCAGTCCACCTTTTCTCTTTTACGTCTATTGTTCCCTTGGTGTTTGTTTTGGTAGTTTCTTCACTAGCTTTATATTCGTCCGGGTCGCTGTTGACGTGGGATGTTCAGCACCGTTACCATCGGGGCGCATGGGGTCCGACGGGCTATTCGACGTAGCGTAATCAACACTCCCCCCGTAATGCGCTTCTGGTCATCCTGATGTGCATTGCTTCCAACGCCTACGTCGAGCACGGCAAGCTTCACAGTTGGGCGCTCGTAGATACCTCCGGAAGTCTGCACAGTAGCGCTTCGCACCTGTCCATCCGAACCTTGCTTGATCCCAATAACTCGGCCTTTAGGCCAGGTGTTCCGAGGAAGTTTCGGGTCCACGATGACAACGATGTCGTTGATTTTGATGGGCTTCACCTCCGTATACCATTTCGTCCGACGAGTGATGGAAGGAAGATAGTCTCGGAGCCACTGTTTCCAAAATTGGTTGGCCAAGGCTTGAGAAAGTTCCCAGCAATTTTTGAGTACTTCTGAGCTGTCGTCGAACGGTACCCAAGGTCTCAACCCGTTGCTTGATCCCAGTAAAAAGTGGTTGGGAGTTAGCACTGGTGACTGGTCATCGTCGAGAGGAATACTGGTTAATGGGCGAGAGTTGACAATATTCTCAACCTCCAGTAGCATGTTTTCGAGGACTTCATGGGATAACGTTCTGTTGGCTTTCAGCTTCCCAAGGTTTTGTTTGACAGTTCGTATGAGTCGCTCCCATGCTCCACCCATGTGTGGTGAGGCGGGAGGAAGAAAGTTCCAGGAAGTATGTGAGGAGGTGAACTCCGCTGCAAGCCGCTCTCGATCTAAATTCGCCATAGCTTCTTCGAGTTCTTTACTTGCCCCCTGGAAGTTTGTACCTCTGTCACTATATATGACTGCTGGTACACCTCTCCTAGCCATGACGTTTCTTAATGCCATAATACATGAATCGGTAGTCATAGTGTGAACGATTTGCAAGTGGATGGCGCGAGTGGTAAGACAAGTGGCGAGAAGTACCCAACGCTTCTCGAGACGGCGTCCAAGGATGATCATAAATGGACCAAAGTAGTCCACCCCCATATAAGTAAACGGACGAGCGTAGGCAGCCAGACGAGGCAGTGGCAAGTCACTCATGACCGGTGGTTGTGGTTGAGCACGGTCGTGCTTGCATTGCTGACAGCATCGACGAATACTGTTGTAGGCAGCCTTTAGACGAGGGATGCTGTATCGCTGCCGCAACTCGTTGATCACTGTGTTGTGGTTCTGATGATGATACTTGCTGTGGTAATGCGATATGATGAGATGTGCAATCTGATGATCTCGTGGAAGGATGATTGGATTCACCGTATCCTGCTGAACAAATGGACAAGCGCTGGTCCTACCACGAACACGGAGTACATCATGTTCATCTAAAAACGGACAAAGGTGATATATTGGACTGCTTCTGGGTATAGTCTTCGTGGAGTGTTTGGACGCTCGTATATCCAAAAGCATCGCTATCTCATCTGCGTAAGCACTACATTGAGCACACCGGAACAGATAGTTTTCAGCCATGGTCAGCTCTGAATTCGTCAGTGGTCCAGCGGTTCTTTCTTCTGGTTTGGTTGTACTCACGTTTCTGATGAATCGAAACACGTATGCGGTCCGACGTAGAAGTGGAGTCCATTTAGAGTAGTTTTGAGGATCGATGATTGGCTCCGGTTGTTTAACATGAACGAGTAAATGGGGACGCAGTTCTTCCATGGTGGTGCTATCGATGTGTAGTTTCATAGGCCATTCTCCCTCAGGGGTCTTGAGAAATTCCGGCCCGTTAAACCATCGACTAGTTCTACTCATGTCTGGCGCCCGTTTCCACTTAGTTCCATCATCCGCAACGTTCTTCATTGTCTGGATCCACTGCCATTCGCTGACCTCCGAAGCTTCTAGTATCTCACTCACTCGGAAAGCGACAAACTGACTATACCTACGATGATCAGATTTGAGCCAGCTGATGACGTCACTTGAATCGGTCCAAAAGAAGCGCCTGTTCACCTTGATGGACAGGGACTGCTCTATGCTGTTCGCCAATCTGACTCCGATTACACTAGCTTGAAGCTCCGAACGGGGAATTGACAGAAATTTGATTGGTGCCACACGAGTCTTCGATCCAACCAACGCTGTTTCGATGGTGAGTCCCTCCTTATATCGCAGATAGACCACTACGGCGAAGCCCTTCTCACTAGCGTCGACGAAGGTATGCATCTGTACTTCGTTGGTGTATCCAGCAGATGTGGTCGTCCTGTAGCACCGCGGGATTTCCACTTTCGCCACTTCAGGAAGGACCTTCAGCCATTGTATCCACAACTCGAATTGTGCTTCTTCGATGGGGTCATCCCAACCGACAGACGTTCTCCAAATTTCTTGCAGTACCACCTTCAGGAACATCAAGAAGTGACCAATGAGCCCTAAAGGGTCGAAGATCATCATTAACGTTCTGAGCACTTCACGCTTCGTTGGTTTTCGATGTCCCGACATAAGCTCAGGATCATATCGTGGAGAGATTTTGAAGGTGAAGCAGTCAGTGGCCGTGTTCCACCACATTCCGAGTACTTTCTCGGTTGTCAATCCTTCTCCCATATTAAGGTCCTTCTCTTCCGTCGTTCGCTCGTGTAACGCCTCCAGAACAGCCGGGCTGTTCGAAATCCAACTTCTCATTTCAAATCCGGCTTCCGCATGAATCTTCTTAACATTCCGTGCAAGGTCTATAGCTTCTTGTTCACTTTCGACACTTGCGAGCATGTCATCGACGTAATGCTGATCAACGATGGC